TCCACATCGGCTGGATTTTCCGGTGGAAGGGGCGTCCATGCCATATTGCATAAGAGAGAAAGAGAGAGAAAATACCAATTTCCCTGTCCTTCACTTACTGTCCTTCCTTTACTTACTGCACACTTCACTGCGCATCTGATCTGCGCAGCAAGGACAAGAAACCTTGCAATTTTCTGTCTCGCAATGGCATGAACGCGTATATATAGCTAATGTGGAGTCTATCTTATATGTCTATGGTTTTAACTGAAGTTTAATAAAACTTTGGTTAAGATTAACTCTCGGTTTAATATTGATTGGTTTCTACGAACACTCTATTTAGAAAGTTTAGCTAAACCTATAACCTATCCGATATAATTGTAGGAAACTAGGAATATCGAATGATGATTGGTTCAGCGTTTGCTCTATCGAATGGTGCAAACCAAGCCTCAAAATTTATATTTTAGTTCAAGTAGTATTGTATGAACATACAAGTCAAAAATGAATGAAGGAAAAAACGCAAACGTGCACAAAAAACCACAACGAAAACGAGCACAAAATTTCTCTGAAGCGGAGAAAATGATTTTGATCAATTTAGTCCAAAAGTATAAACATATTCTTGAAAATAAGAAAATTAACGCGGTAACCTCAAAAGACAAAGACAACTGTCGGAAAACTGTAGAGCACTCATTTAATAGTAGATCTTCGAGTGAATATCGAAATTCTGAAGTTTTGAAAAGCTGTTGGGATAATTTAAAAAAAAAACAAGAAAATTTTTTGCAGATGAAAGGATAAAGTTGTATAAAACAGGTAAGTGTCATTTTTTATGGCATTGTCTTTCAATTTTATTATTTTAGATATTGAGGCTCGATTCTCAAAATCAGTGTTAAGAATTATAAGTGTATACGTGCTGCTTTACACACACACACACGCACACACACACACACTCACACAACTCCAATTAAAAACACACATTTAGAATTTTTGATATATGCAATATGTGCACTTGAAATTTCATATATAGGTATGTATATGTGTATATATGTATATATATATATATATATATATATATATAAATATATATCGTATATGTATGTATATTTAATAGATATATAAATATATTTTAAAATATTATAATCCTATATTAATTTTAACTAGATGGAGGATCTTATGAATCACAGTCAGACAATCTTCTGGAACTAGTACGAGAAACTATTCAACCTTCAGTTGATGGCTTGACTAACAATTTTGACGATGATGATTTAACAGGTAAAATATACTATTAAATAATCACAGAAAGATATAAATAATGATATGCATGTATGTATGTATGAATGTATATGTGTACTTATCAAATATATTACTATTCTTTTAGAAAACAATATAAATTCGTGCAATGTTCCTACAAATACAAGTACAAATATGAATACAAATACAAAAACAAGTACAAATACGAATACAAATACAAAAACAAGTACAAATACGAATATAAATACAAATTTATATGAGGCAACAACTAGTACTAATAATACTATGCAGATTGAATGGTTTGATGAAAATGATAATACAACAGATGAAAGCATGCATGAAGATGATGTACTAAATGTAAGTAATTAAGAAATATTAATTACCTATAATTAAAGTATTATTGCGTTCTGCAAAAAAAGTTAAAGCAGAATATTGTGAAAACATTCTCAGTTTCTTTTTTGTACTTAATTATTCAAAGATATATACAAATGTAATAAGAATATATTAAATGTATTAATTTGTAGTTCTTGAAAAAACAAAATGCTGCTGGTGTAGAAGCGGAGTCATCTAATAATGCATTAAATATGTGTAAAGTAATAGACTTAGACAGCGATGAAAATGATATTAATAAAGGTCAAAGTGATTCAGATATAAACACAGATAACTTACATGTAAGTTTAAATAAAATTTTGTTTTTGTTTTATATTTCCATTATTATACATGTACATATATGTCTGCTGTTAGAGAGAATAGAGAGGAGTTAAAAAAAAAACATGTTGCAAGCAACAAAAGTTACATTTTTAATACATAATTTCTTTTTTATATTTTTCTTTTAATTTTTTTTTAATTTTTAAGTATAAAAGACTGAAATTAATACGCTTTAAAACTGTACAACACTTTGAAATTATTAAGAATTTTTTTTTTGCTTGTAGAACACAATAAGACAATAGCTTTAAAATGTTTTTGGAAAAATGTTCCTGTCTTTGTGATATTAAAATAATATTATATATTTTGTCGTTATGATATTAAAATAATATGTTCTGTGTTAAACAATGAATAATTTTCAAATGAAATATGTATAACGTTTAATTTGTTGTAAGTCTCGCTGTGCCTTACTTACAACGTCACACTTAGTAATAAGCAGGTCACTGTTGCAATCTAATATTGCAACGATGACCCATAATAATTGAGGATGCCGACGCAGGACTTCGGCAGCCTCAATACGCGCGTCCTTCAAAAACTGCGACAGTTGCAATTAAGCAACAATTGCAACTGCTGAGCAGTGCAGTGGCCCACTTGAGACGGGATAAAACCCGCCGTCCAACGGACCACTGCGA